GAATTCACTACTTATGTGTCTAATGGGTTTAAAAACAATCTTCGAACAGACGTGATTTACACTGATTTCAGCAAGGCATTTGACAAGGTATCTCATTCAACCCTTATATATAAACTTGATCGAATTGGCTTCCCTCCTATTCTTCTCAGCTGGCTTTCTTCTTACTTAGTGGATAGGAAACAAAGAGTAATTTTTAAAAATTGTACCTCCCGGCCAATACATGTCACATCCGGCGTACCTCAGGGCAGCCATATTGGTCCCGTCTTGTTTATTTTATTTATAAATGACCTTCCTAAGGTGTTGAATTACTCGAAATGCTTAATGTACGCTGATGATGTTAAGCTCTTTAAGTACATTAGTACTGCAGAAGATAGGGAGCATTTGCAAGCTGACCTAACCTGCATTTTCGAATGGTGTGAAGCAAATTCCATGTCACTAAATTTGAAAAAGTGTAAATTCATGACCTTCTCTAGAAAATCGTTCTATCCAAATTCGTATATGATATCTGACCACAATGTTGAGCAAGTGACCAATTTCATTGACCTAGGTGTAACTATGGATCCGAAACTAGAATTCAAGTCTCACATAAACTCCTGCGTGATTAGGGCTAGAGGATTGTTGGCTTTTCTTAAGCGCTGGGCCAAGGAGTTCAACGATCCTTATGTCACTAAAGTTCTCTTTACCTCTCTAGTTAGACCGATTTTGGAGTATGCATCTATAGTATGGAATCCTAGCTATCAAATTCATAGTGACAGGCTCGAATCAGTGCAGAAACAGTTCCTGTTATTTGCCCTCAAAAATTTATGTTGGGACGCGTCTAAAAATCTCCCACCCTACAAGGATCGCCTGAAGCTTATAGATTTGCCGACGCTTCAGAGTCGTAGAGAGATGCTTGGTGTTCTTTTTTTAATTAAATTAATGAACGGGATGGTCAGTAGTCCCTTTTTACTGAGTGAGATAAATTTTTGTATTCCTACAAGACCCACGAGACATTTTAAACCTATTGTGTTGAGTATTTGTAAATCAAACTTTGAAATGCACGATGCTTTTCGGTGCTTATGCCAAGATTTTAACAAGCATTATGATTGCATCGACATATCTGAATCGCTTTTTGTAATAAAGAAAACATTGCTCAACAAGTTAACTAAATAAACTAATATCTGCAACCGTGAACGAAAAAATTACACAATATCTATGACTGCTTAGTACAATTGTAACGGCTTCGTATATTTCCGCGACCGCGTAGGACAATAGGAGCAGGGATCGGAAACTCGGCCTTTCCGACCTCGCCCAACAGTTCGTCTATAGCGTGGAGCGGAAACTAGGACTTTCCGCCTGCCTCACTTACAAAGTAACGACTACGGGAACATGGATCGGAAGCTCGGCCTTTCCGACCATGATCAACGGCCTGTAAACAGGGCGGAGCGGAAACTAGGTCTTTCCGCCCGCCGCACACAAAAGTAGACTGGAGACAAGGCCTCGCCAGCTACCCATATTGCTATTGAATATCATTGTTATCTTTACAAGTTAATATTTATAATTATTTCACTCTGTAATGTATCACACATACTTAAATATTCTAAATCTTTTTATCTCAACTGTCTGTAAGAAAACATTTTTCTGTAGACTAAATAAATAAATAAATAAATAAATAAATAACCATCGATATAATTTTTCACTGCTACAAATAAATAAAAAATATATACATATGTACATATGTAAGAATTAACCATTAAAATTGGTTTACTTACTTAAACCACCAATTGCATTTATTCTTTCCACAGATGGGTTGTACTATTCTCGCATCCGTCGGACTTCACACCC